TTGGCTTTCATCAGATACTCCAAGTGGTCGTTAACCCAGGAGAGTTAAGACGTTCTGAGGCTTAGCACGGGCTCTCTCTTCCTGCGGGCCGGCTTCTCCGCTGGGGGGGGGGGGACCTGCACCCTCCAAGGCAGTGTTCTGAGGGCGCCCGGAGTCCCAGAGACCCTCCAGGGGATCCGCAGCCCCCGCCCCGCCCCCCCCCCCCCCCCCCCCCCGCTCCACTGGCATCTTTTGTGCGACCAGATTTTCTTCCTACTCCACCAAAACAACAGACCGCATCAGACAAAGCAGAAGCAGGCTGGAGAAACCGGGCGCCTTCTATGAAGCCAGGCGTTACAGAAATTTGCAAAAATGTCCAACAATGCCACTCTTCTCATCAAATGTATTGTGTTTTTTGGAAAATATTAGCTTTCCACATAATATGTGAATTGACTTTTAAGTGAATTCAGTATTTTTAAGTGTTTCCGTTTTAATTTCTGAACACTAAGCATCAACAGCTGGCAGCTCTCGGAGGTCCAAGGTTAAGTGTCCAAAGAGTTCCTGAGACTGGAAAGTTTGAGAACTGGTGCTGTGTGGCCCGTAAAGACGGGGCCGAGGAGTCTCCCCCGGGTATAACCCAGAGGCTCGTTCCCGTGAACGTCTGCTGTGTGAACACCCAGGTCAAGCTCCCTCGGGACCCTCGGTCACTGCCCCACTCCCAGGGGTAACCACTCCCTCACCACCCACTCACGTCGTCTCTCCTCGGGCTTCGGACCAGCGGAGTCACATAGCCATTTCGCCCCCTTCTTTCACTCAGTGCACCTGCTGTGTGACGTCCACTCACTATGTGTGGTCCATCCGCGCTGTGACGTCCATCCGCTGCGTGACGTCCGTCCGCGCTGTGACGTCCGTCCGCGCTGTGACGTCCGTCCGCTGCGTGACGTCCATCCGCTGCGTGACGTCCATCCGCGCTGTGACGTCCGTCCGCTGCGTGACGTCCATCCGCTGCGTGACGTCCGTCCGCGCTGTGACGTCCGTCCGCGCTGTGACGTCCGTCCGCTGTGTGACGTCCATCCGCTGCGTGACGTCCATCCGCTGCGTGACGTCCATCCGCGCTGTGACGTCCATCCGCTGCGTGACGTCCATCCGCTGCGTGACGTCCATCCGCGCTGTGACGTCCGTCCGCTGTGTGACGTCCGTCCGCTGCGTGACGTCCGTCCGCTGTGTGACGTCCATCCGCTGTGTGACGTCCAACCGCTGTGTGACGTCCGTCCGCTGTGTGACGTCCGTCCGCTGTGTGACGTCCATCCGCTGCGTGACGTCCAACTGTGCTCTGATGTCCGTCCGCTACGTGACGTCCATCCGCTGTGTGACGTCCACCTGCGCTCTGATGTCCGTCCGCTGTGTGACGTCCACCTGCGCTGTGACGTCCGTCCGCTGCGTGATGTCCGTCCGCTGCGTGACGTCCATCCACTGTGTGACGTCCATCCCGCTGTGACGTTAATCCTCTGCGTGCTGTCCAGCCCGCTGTGGCGTCCATCCGCGCGGTGGCGCATGGCAGCAGTTCCCTTTCCATGGCCGGCCGGTCTTCTGTCGTGCGGACGTGCTACCCTCACCGACCCCGTCCACTGCTGGCAGGCGCTGGGCGGCTTCTGGTCCCAGCTGTTGCAAACAAGGCTGCCTGAACATTCTTGTGCAGACCTTCCGCTGTCACATTCTTCCTTACATTTCATCCCTGTCACCTTCACCTTATGCCCCACATCCCACTTTTCATGGTACATGCGCAATACCAATACGTGGAGTTGGGCAGAGGGTGGGAGACCGCGTGGCTGCCTCTGAAGCCGGAGAAAGGACCAGCTCGCTGCAGACCAGGGGAGACCGGCCACGTCCCAGTGACGCGGGGTTTCTGCACGTCCAGCTTCCACCAAGTCTTTGTATTTCCAATAACACTGAAGCCTTGGGGTCCTTCCTCTAAACGGCTCTATCCTGACATGTTCCAGACGAGACTAACGCGGTCAGAAGCCTGATCTTTGGCCTTTACGCCGCACCTGGAGTTTCCCAGGTGTAGACTCGTCACGTCCTGGCTGAGGACGGCTGCGCCTTCTTCCCAGCACAGAACGTGGCAGTTTGAACCTTCTTGATTCTGAGTTCTGGCAGCTTCCATGACACCCATCTTTTACATTAACAATCCTCTGGTCTTAGATGACTGCAGCACCCAGGACGTGTGTACGCAGTAGGTCTTTCACACGAGTTTGGTGATTGCATGTCAGCACGCGGCCGGCCGAGGCAGACAGCCACGGCATCGGTGTCCTGGGCTGCGGTGTGATGGTTTCTCCTGGCCCCGTGGTGGTTTCTCAAGGCCCTTCGAGAACCTTGACCTCAGCTGGGACTGGATTACAGGGGCAGCCTCAGGACTGCCCTGCGGAGCCGGGGCTCACACATGTCCAGGCCGTGTGATGCATGCTCTCCACCATGCACATTAGTGGGGCCTCAGCTCCAGGCAGCTGGGCCTGGCGACTCTGGTGCGATTTCTATTTCAGCGCACGGCCTCGTTTGACAAGAATTTATGTGGGCCTGAGAGAACACACAACGCCGAATAAATGTGCTTTTCTTCTTCTATCACTGTGTAAGTCATTTGCCCATTCTTAGAATTTTTCTTTCCTGTTTCATACGTGTATTGCCGCGATGCGCCTCGAACCCTGGAGATCCAGGGGTAGTGCAGGGGCCTCTTCAGAGCTTATACAGAAACATTTTCCTCTCGCGTCTCCATCACCTCTGGCCCTCCCCCATCTGGGGTCAGTGGACACACGAATGAACCCAGGAAGCAGTCTCTCTCGAATGGTGACGTGTCTGCCAAACTTGCTTGTGAATGAGGTAAGGGCCGTGTGTGGAACAAGGATCCCCTAGCCCTTCCCTGTAAACTCGGAACTGGACGTAGATGCTCACGTCTCCGGGAAAGGTGGCTCCCGCCCTGCTCCACCCGAGCAGCTCAAGGCTGCTGCTTTAGCTCAGACTGACCCAAACTGTTCCTTCCCTCTGCCCGGCCCCAACCCCTCCCTCCATGCCCAGCCCCCGAATGCTCCTGACAAATAACAGTAAAACCAACTATCTTTTTAAAAAATGTTTTTATTGAATTTTTCCTGCAAGAGATAAAAACGTTGTGAGAAACGTGGATCGAGCCTGCAACCCGGGCATGTGCCCTGACTGGGAATCCAGCCGGGACCTGTCCACTGAGCCACGTAGCGGCCAACCAACTGTATTCCCTACACAAATGGGGGCCATTTTTGTTTTTTTTTTCATATAATGAAAAAGTTGGATGGGGATAGGTGCTGGTGTGAAGTGGTCCGTCTTTGTGAAGCTCTTGGTTTTTCCCTCGCGGCTGCTGTGGCTCCAGGCATCACGTCAAAGGCAACAAGAAAGGAAGAAAGAAGAGGGTCTGCAGTTCCGCTACCTTTTGATCAGGAAAACAGTTCTGGAAAGCTTCAAGCAGATTTCTGCTTAGATCTGATTGGCTAACTGACTCACACACCTCTTGCTGCAGGGGGAGGGGGCAGGAACAGCGATGGGAAGGCAGCACAGGTGAAGGAGACTGGAAACAACTAGTTGTCCCACATCTGCCCCGTCCACCTCCCACACGTCTCTGTTGCATCGTCTTCTGAATGGCAAGCCTTCTAGTTGCCTCTGTGTGACTCAATATCCCTCGCGTCCCTTCCTTCAATCACCCACTGTATTCCAGGACCCTGGCCCCCTCACACCCTCCAGCACAAAGGCTTCCTGCTGTCTTTGACCTTGCTGGTCTCTCGGCCCCAGATGCTGCTCGCCCACCATTTCCCACACGCACAGGTGTCTTCCCCAGTCTTCAGCTCTTGGCTTAAATGTCACTTGCTTGGAGTGGCCTTCCTGGCCACCCTGCCGCTTTCTCTAGCTCTCATGCCCATTTGAAATGATGCATTTATCTGTTCCTGGTTTATTGTCTCTTTCCCCAGGAGACCTAAGGAGGTACAACTTTGTCCTGGCCGTGTGTCCGCACGCAAAGCACACGGCCAGGCTCTCAAATATTTACTGAATGAATACGTGAATGGGAGGGGAAAAAATGTTGCGTCTTAACTGTTGGCAGATATTGTCGAGTGGAGACTACAGCTCAGATAAGCCCAGAACTGTACATGGTTTACCCTGGACAACCTCAGCCGCCGTTCCACCCCCTCCACACACGCCAGCCCCTGCTCCAGTCGGCTGGGTTCCAGCTTGCAGTCTGCCTCTGAGACCTCCCCCCACCCAGCTTCTGCTCTGACCCTGACTTTGTGGGGTCCAGGGACGTGGGCTCAGGCACTTGTACTCACTGCTCCCTCTGCCTGTCGGGGTGACCCGAGGTGGAGCCCACAGGAGGTGGGGGTTACCAGACAGCAGACACTGGGGACCCTGATGGCACCTCCCTGCTCAAGGACGGGAGGCGACCATCTGGGCCTCGCTGGGAGCCGGTGGAGACGCCACGGGCTTCTCTCTCCAGCGATGCTGTTATCAGAACCAGGGGAGGGCGTCTGAATAGAGGAGCCGGAGACAGTCGCCCCGCCACTGCGGTTTCCAGGCGACACGCAGCCTGTCGCGGTCGCTGTCATACAAACCCTTTTCCCGTAAGACGGCAGGTCCCACGGGGAGAGGGGTGAAGCAGAATATTTTATCAGCCGTGTACACATGTAACCAGAACCAGGGCTGAAAAGCAGAACCTCGTTTGCCTGAATAGGGGGGAGGGGGCGGGGTGGAGAGGGCCCATGGAGGTCAGTGGCCAGCGCAGGGCGGTGGCCGCGCTTTTCGTCCTGTGTTGTCGACCAGGAGGACGTCCCCACGGAGGGCGTTGTGGGGACAGAGTTTACAAGGCACCGTGTTTCGGTATTTACACAAGAGTCCCATATACATATCAAAGGCGCTGGGGGGGGGGGTAAGTATTTAAACGCTACGCAGTAGCAGCAGCCGGATTTCTTGTGCCCCGGCCACCTTCCGCTTCTGGTCTGGGGCCAGGACTCGCCCCCACGGCTCCCGTTCATTCCGCGGCACGAGCAGGTCAGTGTGCGGCTTGGACGGAGTCCGCCTGGCTTCCCCCGCCGGGTCTGAAGAGGCAGGAGGTCGTCGGGCACAGACGGGAGGGTGCAGTCTCGTGCTCTGTTTGGAGAAGGCGGCCATCTCTCCCCGCCCTGCCGAGCACCACTATCCAACGACCTGAAGAACGGGGGAAATAATAGTCATGAAACACTCGCTTTGCTCAAGATTGATCGTGAAAGCGAGCAGCCTTGCAGACAGCCCCCAGTCTGCTGCCCAGCGTGTCTGCTAGTTTGGGGAGTCCAGGGGAGCAGGCGGACCCACATGCCGTCTGGACACGTTTCTGAAGAACAGAGCCCGAGACCCAACGCCCTCCAACAGCTCCGCCCAGATGTGCAGGGCGGGGCTCCTGCCACAAGCTCATTCCGAAGTTTGAGATGATTCAAGTTAAGCAAAGATCGATGGAGAGAGAGAGAGAGAGAGAGAGAGAGAGAGAGAGAGAGGGAGGGAGAAGGAAAAGAGGGATGAGAAACGCAAGAACCCATCTGGGCAATGCATCACATTGAAATTGCCCCGCATTAAAAATTCACCAGCCAGTGAATTTTCAAGGGATTTGTAGTAATTAGATGACAAAATGCTGGCAAGTCTCAGGCTTGCCAAAGATGTTACTCAGGGGTCAAAGACTCGACACTTTCGGCTGGGTAATTTGTAAGTGTCAATCACTCGCGGCCATCAGAGAGAAGGGAGCGATCTAACGGCTGAATTCTAACGACGTCCAGGCGCCCGTCTGCCAGCAAACCCCAGACCCGTGCGCTCGGGGCTCGGAGCCCCGCGGGCCAGCCCGCGCCCGCTGTCAGATGGTCTTCCTCCAGGAAAGCGGTGACGCCCCTGGGGGGGGGGGGGGCTCCCGCTGGCGACGCGCTGTGTGCAGGCGGCTGGTTTCAAGGCCTCGATGCCCATGGCCTCGGTCTTCTCATCTGTGAAGTGGGACGGACGCACTGCGGGCTGTTCTGACTGTAGGAGGCAGAGCCGCTCGAACCACCTACCAGATCCCTCCGCTTGGTGTCCTCAGGCCTCGGCCCCAGTGCTGGTCCAGCTCGGAGGACTCAGCAGTGACCAAGACAGCACACCTGCCCCCGTGGAACGTTCTGGTTGGGGGAGGGAGGAGGAACAACAAACCAATAAAAGAAAGGCCAGAAGGCGGCAACCGCTAGGAAGAAAATGACGGGGTGGTAGGAGGGAGGGCCTCCTGGAGGAGGCGGCCTCTGGGCGGAGCTGTAACCAGAGCCGGAGCGGCTGGCCGAGGCAGGAGACACAGGGACAAAGGCTGGCGGGATACACAGGTCTGCGAGAAGCTGATCAGCATGGCCCTGGTCAGAGCTGCCCGTCGGCGGCACCTGGCCCTGCCCAGTGGGCCCCGCGAGAGGACCAGCTGACTAAAAGCCTGCTCCCGGGCCCAGGAGTTTGCGGGGTGATGGGTGAGGGGCCTTCCTTCCCCTCACCGCTCCTGCCCTCGGGCGTTCTCTGGAAAGGACACTGGCTTTGGAGTCAGACTGACCTTGGGCCCTGAGGCCAGTCCGAGCTGTGTAGCCCTGGGCAAGACAACCCGTCTCCGGGCCTCAGTTGCTGCGTCAGAGAATGGGCACAGGAGCCCCCCCCCCCAACTGTGGACAGGCGTCACTGACAAGGAACTGGCTCAGGAGGGTCTCGGCAGAAGCGTTTCCGACCCTAACACAGCCGATACCCAGGACACGCCCCACCCCGCTGGCCGCTCGAGTGTCCCAATCAGAATTCTGTGGCTAAGCCACACTTAGGGAGACGGACCTCTCCGAGGCTTGGGGGCGAGCCTCTGCTTTCAAAGGGAGCTGGAGCGGGGTCTCTACAGCTGGCTGCAAAGCAGACCGTGTGCCGGGCACCCTGCTGTAGCTGGTGAAGACGCGGCTGCGGCTGGCGGGGGCCAGGGCTGGTCTCTAATCACTCCCCCGGAGCTCTTCCTGGCTGTTCACATTTGTTGGTGGGGCATCACCCAGCGCCCTGCGTGGGTGTATTTATTCCCTCCCCCGCCTCCTTCCCGGGCCTGGTCCCCATCCTAGCCCGGCGAGTCTCCGAGTGGCTGCTGCAGGTTTAGCAGGGCTGTGAACCGCTCAAGGGGAAAACGAGAAACTATCCAGTGTCTCCTGGGGGGCAGTGGCTGGGCCTCCCGAGCTTTGGAGGCTGACCCTCACCACCCCATGGGCGGGCAGAGGACTGAGAGCCCTGGGACTGAGGCAAGCGCCCGCCTGCGGCACCCACTTGAGATGCAAATAAAAATTAGTAGCAGCTGTAAGTTGGCGCCTCCACTCCCCAGGGCCCCTCGTGAATACTGCCTGTCTCTGCAGTTCAGACTGGGGAATTCGGAGCTGACCCAGCATCTGCTTAAGAATCGATGGGGCTGTTCTTTGCCCATAGTAATGCAAAGAACAAAGATAGTCACCACCAGAGTGGCTGCTGTTTACTGAGCACTTACTACGTGCCGGGCACTGTGCTGGAGTGCGTGGCCAGCTTCCTCTCCGATCGTCCTCACAGGGACCCAGGGACAGTGTAAGCAGGACTGTCACTTCCCCAGCAGGTGGGCCCTCTACCTGCTCTACCTGCCAGCCCTTCCCCTCGGCCTGACATCGTTCTGTAGATCACGGATGGACACAGGCTGGTCTGTGATGGAGGCAGATGACCCTCACCTCCCTGGGTCACAAAGGCTGTGAATTTAAACTACCTGTTGGCTGCCCGGGGTCAGAACAAGCGCTGGCGTGGGAGGAGCGTGCCTGGAGGCCACCACGTGCCCTGGCCGCTGTCCGGACCGGCTGGGGCAGCTCTGCTAGGCACACGGCCTTCTGAAGGCTAAGCTACAGATGGCCAGCCATGTGTCCACGCTCCCGTCCTTCCGCACACACGCCCAGACACACCCCCACGGTATTCTCGGAGGGCCAGGCCTGTCTGCCTCCTTCCCCACTGACCCAGCGCTGGGCTGAAGGATCTGGTCAACACTCTGCTCAACGAACAAACGCACCGGCTCCCTCACGGCCTCGCTGCTGGTCTGGGGCTGGGGGCCACACGTCGAAGGACCTGGCACAAGTACCACGCCAGCCCTGCTGACTGCGCGGCTCTGGGGAAGTCTCTGAAATCTAGCCCTGGACCTCAGTTTCCTCGACCGCAAAATGGGGGGACAGCGGTGCCCACGGGGCACGGGGCTGTGCTGAAGCAGTGGCAGCTGCTCACCCCACTTAGTTTTGGCACCGAGTCCCGAGCCCAGAACTCAGCTCTTGAACACGGCCGAGCGGTGAGGACGCAGACCCAGCCCCGAGCCCCCTCAGCTGCAGCGGGGCTGCCCGGCTCCGTCAGGGACACGGGCAGAGGGAGGCCCAGGGCCTGGCCGGTGCTTCCTCCACGCCTGGACGACCACAGGGGGAGGCCGACAGGCAGGCCGAGGTCAGCACGGGGGTGACGAGCAGAGCGCAAGCTGCCTGGCTCTGCCCTGGCGGGGCCCCCAACCTCTCTGGGGTTCTGCTTTCTCGTGGGAGATGAGGATGGCGACAGTGGCGCCCACCTCGTGAGCTGGTGAGGAATTAAGGAGCTCATGCGCAATGAGGGCAGTGATGACGACGGTCACTCACTGGGATGGTGGATGACAAGACTAGAATGGGGGAGGCTGGGAAGAAGGGGGAGTGACCCTCACCCAATGCCCATGGTGCGCCAGGGGCTTTGCACCCGATAGGTAGGGCCATGGCTCAGAGACATGCCGTGTCTGGCCCGAGCCACACAGCTGGGTGATTACCCCCAGGCCTGCTCAGTGAGCTCTGAGGTGGGGTTCCTGTCGCCCCCACTCTATGGGAGGGGATGGGAGCACAGAGAGGCCAGCGACTTGGTCGCAAGGTCACCGAGCTCACGAGCAGTAGGGCTGGATGTCAGCCCGGCCGCCCGCCTGCTCCCACCCAGCTGCCCCGGATTCGGACACCCTGACCTCAGGAGGATGAGCGCTTGGCACCCCTAGAGCTCAGAACGGGGCCCGGGCTCCTCTGATCCTCAGGACCAAGTCTTCCTGGCTTGGTGCTAAGGGTCTGCCCCATCTTTCCTGGGGTCTCTGGCTGGACCCCACATCCATGGTCAGGAGAGCCCAGAGAGGCACTCAGCTGAGGTGGAGAGGAACCTGCAGGGGCCCCGTGGCCCACAGCCTGCTCCCACCCCCCGGGGCACAGGCTGCTTGCCTGTGAGGGGACCCCCGCTCCCCAGGACCACCCTGCTGCCTGCAGCTCAGCTGTCGGGTTTTCCGATTCTGGCCACGTGCTGCCCACACCTGCCGCCGCCGCACACCACTGCTGTCTGTGCCCGGACCCAGTTTGGGGAGAAAGCCTTGCTTATTAGTCAATCTGGGTCCCACTTACTGCGAATTACCAGGCCTGATTAGTATTCAGAGTGGATACACCTGAACCTCACTCAGCTCGTGACTCCTGCCTGGGGGAGGCGGCTGCGTGAGGACGCGGGGAGCTGAGCAGCCCCGAGGTGCGGCGGCAGCCCCCAGGTGGGGACACGGCTCCCTGGGAGCGCCCCGGCTGACAGCCGTCCACCCTCAGCAGAGGCCGGGACCGGGAAGTGCCAGCAGGCTTTCCAGTCTGGGGGTGACAGAGCTCCGTGGGGGCCTGGGCCTCCACCCCAGCTCACCACCCGGTGCTGGCACAGGGGCCCACGTAAAGCTGGGACCAGGCCTGGGCACTCACTTCCCAGGGCCGCCCAGCCCGGGAGCCGCCCCTCGGCTCTCAGAGGAAGCAGGGCCAGGGATTCGGCCTGGAAGGCAGCACCCGGGTGGGGGCCGGAGCTTACCCTCGCCCCCAGGGCTTGGGTTTCTGGGAAGTACCCTCTGCAGGGTTCAGTGGCTTTTGCTCCAGAAGCTGAGCCTCCCAGACAAGATGCAGGACAGTGAGTGCCTGGCGGTGACTGGGAGAAATCCACACGCCGACTGCACCCCCACTCCCGCTGAGGGGCAGAAAGGAGGGGCATTTTCTAGGTGACCTCCTGCACGCGGAGCAGGACAGGGAGAAACGGGCTCCTTCTCAGACACCAGAAAGTTCCAGTTTGGGCTTCTCCAAGAAGAGAGAGAAGCTGCCTTTACCCCCGATGCCCACACCCCAGAAACGAGGCTGCGGCTG